TAATTATTTTATCTTATTATTTATATGACTATTATCCATTGCAGTTGTGGTAAAACTTATGATGACAAATATTTATTTAAACATCTAAATTCAAAATATCATCAGAAATTTGTAGAATATAGATGGAATAAAGACGATACAATGAAAAAACTTTACAAGAAAAGAAAGACAGAAATGAAAAATAATTTATCTTATTATTTAATATGAAAAGGAGTTATACAGATTATATTAATATAATAAATGAAATGGAGAATATAGAACGGGTTGTCATAACTGATAATAGATGTAAAAAATATGTTATTTTATTTTAGAATTAATTAAGTTTTTGATACAATATATTAAAAATATAAATATTAATATAAATGCCAAAAAAGAAAAACAAAAATAATAAGACAGGTTTAAGTGTTTCATCAACTGATGAAGAAATTGTTAAAGAAGCATCAGTCACTGAGTTTGCTTGTCCTATGTGTAAAAAGATGTTAGAACTTAGAAATGAATTAGAAATAAAAAATAAGGGTAATTGCAAATGCAGTTGTGTGCCAATAGGGTTCAAAATATCTAAAAATGATAAGAAAATGAACATTGATAAAACTAAAGACGGCATCAACTTAGAAACAGATGCTCATAATATTTGCATCAAATTTGGAAATGAAGCTACAACGTCAGATAATGTTGATAACGAAACACAGGAAACTATTAAACAAATGATGAAAAATTAGTATTTAAAGAGTAGAATTAACATAATTTAAACATTTAGTTTTAAAAGTATAGTTGAATAATATAGTATATGGTTGAATTTTCAAGTTTAACACATTTACATTTTGGAGCACTTGAATTAGATAAACAAATTGGAGACAATAATTATAATGGTGTTAGTTATTATACTTGTAAGTGTGGTTGTAAAATAGTCTTAACTCGTACTCAAACTAAAAAATATAACTGTTTATTACTTAGTGTTGGTCTTAGCTATGAATATTTATATCTGGACAAAGCGTTAGTATGTGGACATACTCAAAAAGATTTAGATAACATTGTTAGAGTTATGGTAGAAGGCGAAGAATTTAAACATTTAAGAAACAGAGACCTTCGAAATTAAAATATTTAGTTTTAAAACTTTAGTTTTATCATATAGTATATATGGAAGGTGTGGATAAACTATTTTTGAAAATTGATGAAATAATGGAACAAAATAAACGCATTTATCAACTGTTAGAAAGTATGAAGAAACCAGCTTACAATAATACTAATAATTACCAACCAAAAGAAGTTGATAGAGAGAGCACTGAATACAAGAATAAACGAAATGTATATAAAAAACTTAATGAAAAAGTTATTAAAGAACCTAAACAATCAAGTCTGGATTTCTACCAAGTCAAGTATATTGAAGATACCAAGAAATATGTTTAATCATTAACTAACAAAATTTCGTGTCTCAGAAGTGGTTTGTTTATTCCTGCTACTCTGTAAGTTTTATTACCCATAATATCATATTCAATTTTATCAACATTGAATATCTTATGAAACCATTTAGAGTTATACTCTTTTCTGTCGGTGTAATTGCCCCTTTTCTTTTGAAACACTTTTACCTTATCGTTCTCCTGTATTTTGGGATATTTTCTTTTTTTCTTTTCTCGTAGTTTCAGATTGACTTTTACATTTATTTCATTGTCGTCCTTGTGTGCTTCGGTTGGTGTCATCCTTGTTGACGAGTGTAATGTGCTGTTATACTGTTTCAATGCTGGTGTTAAGGCATCGGTCCATTTCATATTGTTAAACCTAGCTCTATCATGAATTTTGTTTTTCATTGTCCTAATAAAACGTTCGGCTACATTTGCGTGTGTCTTCGTTATTATGTGTTTGATACCTTCGCTGTTGAAGAAATCCTGAACTTGGTTTTTGGTTGCAAATGCTCCATCATCATCAGAATACACGGACATCGGATAACCCATCTTTTTAAAACTTGCTCTTAGTGCTTTTAGAACGTGCTCTCCGTCTCTTTCCTCCATCGGAATTACATCTGCTAATTTACTGAAGATGTCAATCACGACTAAAGCATACTGTGGAACGTTCTTGTCTTTAGCTAAAGGTGACATATGCATTATGTCTATTTGATATTCATACCTAGCAAACGGGGCGGTATAGGAATTAGTGCCTCTATAATTTTTGATTTGTTTATTTGGTTGTTTCTTTAAGAAAGACTTTACATCTTCTAATGTTATCGTTGGGTCTTCTTCCTTTGCCTTCTTGTGTGTTGCTTGTGTGCTTCCGAAACCCTCGTCTAAGTCATAATAGATGTTGCTGATTATTTGGTCTTTCGTTAATCTCGCCATTATATTATTTGTTAGAAAATATTTTTTATCGATATAACCCCCACCCCTTAACATTAAAAAAAACTACTTAAAGAGAAAAAACCTTATATATTAAGAGAAAAATGAGTGAGGGTAAAATGTCAGAGAATAATTTTATATTTGAGAATTGTGCTAGCTTACCTGCTGATGTATTAAAAGGTATCATTTCATATAAATTAGGGAGACCTGAGTATTTGAAACTAAAACATAATCATATTAAGACATTAAAGAGAATACAACAACGATATAAAATAGACAGAACAGAAACAAAAAGAAAGACAAAGCGCTATACTGTTGAAGATGGCGATGATATAAAGAGACACGTAATTGAGTATTACATTTCAAGAAATATACCTTTAAGCATAAAAAGCATCAAAGATATAGTGTTTAATGAAAATGAAAACTTAGATTGTTTGTTAGATGGCATTGAAACCGATAACGGTTATGAAGCAGTGATAATAGTTGAGGTAAATATGTTTGTAAGGTTTCATCATTTCAATTATGAAGACAACCATTTTAACACTTTTAGTTTTTATTTTCGTAGTGATGATGTTGTGGATAATATAACCATAGATAATATAGCCGATGTAATGAGAGCGGCGCATCAAACAATAAACAGTTGTATTGATAGAGAAAGAAGTAGAATGAATTTTGGAGGAGTACAAAACATAAGGTTTAAACTAATTGTTGATGAACCTGTGTAATTCATAACTAAACCATAATTATATCATTTATACTCTTATATGTTATAATTATAGTGAACTTTTAATCTATAAACATTTCATTAAATGACAAACCACAACAACCGCCCAAAAGCCAACCCATGAAACCGCAGAAAGTCCTATCCTCTTTCAATCAATAAAACTAAAAGTTGAAATCTGGAACGAGACAGGGGACCAAATCATCAATTCGTTACCACATCCATATCGTTATTTCATGCCCCCAAAATCAGCCTTTTAAAAACGAATAAGGTGGTACACGTGTTGAAATGTGAAATAAAAAAACAGAACAGGCAACCATCTACCCCCCACCCCCTAGGACAAGCCTTTTCTACATTTTTTTTGGGGGGGGAGGAGCACCATATTATATATATATATATATATTTATACATATGTGTATATATATAATATAGCGTATTAATTTTAATATTGTTAATGTAAAACTTATTAATCTAAAATATTAGACCTATAATATGAACAATACGGCACGATTGTAATCTTTTGTATTATAAGCATAGGCTAAGCTCAAGGCTTTGTACCGACATATAACGATCGTCATATATAGGCGATCTATACAAGACTAATATGTATTTAATATCCCTCCTCAAATTGTGCTATATTAGTACATTTTGCAAAAATATACAAATATCCTTATGGATCGGGATGATGTAAAACACCTCTGTGTGTAAATTGATAGCCAAAAAGCAAATATACTATACATCGATATCCCTTACGAATTGTGGTGTACTATTGTGGCAAAATGTATTTGATGTACTCAAGCACTATTATCCATAGTCTTCTTTTTGTTGAGCAATTTATAGCCCTAAAATTGTGACAAAATCCTGCAAGCGTTGGTCGTTGTATCCAATCTATCCGGGGATCAGGTCCGTGCTATTTCCTATCAGCTGTATTCCATGTTGGACAATGCGATCGATAACAATTGTCTTTAAAAATTCCGAGATAGTCTATGCTATACTTTCCTTGCGCTGGCACTATGAGGAAGGAGGCTAAGGATCAATGTCCGTCCAGAATGACACAGGACCTCAGGGAAACAAACCAGCATAGTCAAACAGGCGAGCTTGAAGTCCAACCTCTCCATCTCTCCCCCAACGATACGGCTGATGACTGAGCAACACAATTGCCTCAAGCATGTACCAGTACGAATAGCAGAAGTGAGCAATTGTCATCCAATGGCTAACCGTGTTTCTGAATCCTCTCAAAGAAGCGCCATGTTTGTAGGAGAGGTTTGCAAGCAAAACAGTGCACTGGACATGACATACCCTAGCGCGGCAAGCGCGAGCCCGTGTCAACGGGCCCCTTGGCCCCTTCAAGGTGTCGAATTTGAGGGCTCCTGAGAGGATTCGCCTTCACTGATTTTGAATGTCGTGTGTTTGCTCAAGTTGCTCCAAAACGATCATTCATATTGCTCTTAAAGCAGGATGGATCAATTGGAAATTCGAATACTATTGTGGCGCAGGGGGCTTGGAGAACTGTTCCGGGACTCGTGGGGGGACAGGACTCGTGGCATAGCAATTGCCTCCATTTGAAAAAAATCGGCCCAAGACTCCTTCGGCATTTTCTGGGCCTTTCAACTCGCAAATGGCTCACCAAGCCCATCAGTTGGCAGGCTGACTTGGAAACTGATTGAAACCAGACTGTGTGATTTCCAGTCGTATTTGGCATTCAAAAGGATGGGCAATTCCCTGAGACATGCACACCCTTGCCCATCCTGTTGAGAAATTTCTTAGCACAAAGGCAGGAATATATGGGCGACAAAGCCCGGCATCTGGAAACTTGGGACTCCGTCCAAATTCGGATTCATGGCAAGTCTGCCATCTCTGTAAGGCGCTTGCTTTGATATTTGCAAATTACATTGGGAAAGTTTCGGATCGCACCGCGACTCCCCTTGGCACTAAACGTGCAAACTTCGGGCCTAGATCAAAGAGGCCTCAAACTCCGGACACACCTCCGAACGCAGTTTCAGGTGTTGCAAGTCGAGTGGGCCGTCGAAATCCTTGACATCATGCTCATCATCAAAAGGTGTGATCTGGCGAGATGCAGACTTGCTGTCGATATCGCTGGCAGTGGTGGAGACGGGCGCTGAGGAGTCTTTGAGTTGCATCTCCTTGTTCTGGACCCCCCACTTTGCTTGGCTGAAGCCCGCGTACATGGTGGCCACCATAAACCCTGAGACCATGACCCAAGCATTCTCCACCTGAATGTGGGTCAAACACATGTACCTAAAACGGGCTGGCAACATGGACCAAAACCTGCGGTCCATTTCCTGGTGGCTTAATTTTGACCCGTACCCACCTCCTTGGTGAAGCTATCGCCCAGCCACTCCGCCAGCACTTCGATGAGCACCTTGGAAGCGATGTTGAAGCAGTGGCCCTTCAAGCCGTAGCCCACGTGCCGCGCGCCCAGCTGCTGCAACATGGGCACCAGCTTCCTGAAAGACGTAAAACAGACTTACACCTACCCCAAAATGGGATCCCAAAACGATTTTGACCACCACAGCCATTTCTCATTCGCCCGAGCTTCTCGACCAAGGGATCCCAAAAATAGTTTTGACCACCACAGCATTTCTCATTCGCCCGAGCTTCTCGACCATAGCGTCTGACCATAGTGTTGAATGGACTCTCCTGGTATGTGCAGTTCTCACCTCCAACACCCGTACCCAAAATGGGATCCCAAAACGGTTTTGACCACCACAGCCATTTCTCATTCGCCCGAGCTTCTCGACCATAGTGTCTAACCATAGTGTTGAATGGACTCTCCTGGTATGTGCAGTTCTCACCTCCAACACCCGTACCCCAAAATGGGATCCCAAAACGGTTTTGACCACCACAGCCATTTCTCATTCGCCCGAGCTTCTCGACCATAGTGTCTAACCATAGTGTTGAATGGACTCTCCTGGTATGTGCAGTTCTCACCTCCAACACCCGTACCCCAAAATGGGATCCCAAAACGGTTTTGACCACCACAGCCATTTCTCATTCGCCCGAGCTTCTCGACCATAGTGTCTAACCATAGTGTTGAATGGACTCTCCTGGTATGTGCAGTTCTCACCTCCAACACCCGTACCCCAAAATGGGATCCCAAAACGGTTTTGACCACCACAGCCATTTCTCATTCGCCCGAGCTTCTCGACCATAGTGTCTAACCATAGTGCCATAGTGTTGAATGGACTCTCCTGGTATGTGCAGTTCTCACCTCCAACACCCGTACCCCAAAATGGGATCCCAAAACGGTTTTGACCACCACAGCCCTTTTCTCATTCGGCCCAAAATGGGATCCCATTGGTTTTGAATGGGTCGTGCACCTACCAGACTCACAGCCATTTCTCATTCCCATCGCACCATAGCTCCATAACTCCATGGCTCCAGAGCCGAGCTTCCCCACTAAATTCCTGACTAAAATGGGTGGTGAATTCACCTACCAACCAAAAATGGGATCCCAGAACGATTTGGACCACAGCCATTTCTCACCCCTTCCCCATTTCCCCATTTCCCCATGGTTCTGATGGATTCCATTTCTCCTTCCCCGCTCCAGCGAGCTTCTCCGTGTCCATCCCGGCCACGGCGCCACCGTGATGAACTTCGCCCAGAGCTTCCGCAGCGGGGACTCCTCCGGGTCCGTCTCCTCCTCGGTGTCCCAGTCCTAGCGCAGCCGCACCGAGGGGAACAGGGCCTTGGCCTTCAGGGCTCATGGGCTCCCTATGGCCTTCAGGGCTAGGTGGCCTTTTGGGAAAATGGGAAAACTGGGTTTCCCTGCTAGATGGAAGAAATCCCATCTAAACCAGTGCCATTCATTTTTAGCCAGGCTCACCTAAAAAGGACACCTATGGCAAACCATATTTCCCCTTAAAACATCGCCCCCACCAAGAAACACTCACCTTTCATGGGTCAAAAAGGTGATGTTGAAAACCAACGGAAATATAGGGACCCCTGGCCTTGGGCTCGATCTGGAAGAACTTCTTGTAGAAGAGCCCACCCACCACGTCAGTGCCCAAAGCCTTGACCTGCTGCCAGCTCAGCTGCGCCGCCGTCATGGAGGTGTTGCACGGCTGGAAGGCCTTGCTCTGCAACGTACGGGGCACCGTGACCTCGCCGCACTCTTTCAAGCTCCTCTTCAACTTCACGATGTGTCCGGCCGGCATCCCCATCTCGCGCATGTGCGGCTCCTCGATGCATATCAGCGTTTCCAGGTCGTCGAAGCCGTGGTCCCTCATCACCTGGGTGTGGCTCAAATTTAAGGAGCCAGGGCAAGCCGCAGGTTTGAGTCTTTGTTTCCATCTACAAGGGGCCATTTTGGGAATTCCATTTTTTGAGCCACACCTCGGCGTACTGCCCCAAGTTCAGCTCCCGCAGGAAGGCGGTCACGGGGCTCTGCTCTAAGCGGCGCCGGGCAGCGGGCCCCCCGGAGCCCGGCGGGGCCCCCAATGGCCGGAGCGGCTTCACCGCGTTCAGGTCCTCCCGGCGCATCCGCGCGGTGCCTGAGATCTGTCGCTCCTCGGTATCCCGACATTGGAGAGAGCACTGGGGCGCTGGTCTAGATACAAGACCAATAGAAAGCTCTTAAGCCCCAAGCGCTGCGGGTAGATCTCATAATTGTTCATCCCGGTGACTTGGGAGCGCGAAAGCTGGCATGATGCCACAAGCAGTCCTTGCAGGTTTTAAAACCCGGCCAATCCAACGCAAAACCGGAAAGCAATTGTTGCTCGGCAGGTCTAGTGAACATCCGAGAAGTGGTTTGGCATGTTCAGAAAAAGTTGTGATTTCCGCAAAAGCTGTGGTGGCACAGATGCCGGCACATAGTGTTAAGCCGTTGACACAAAATACATGCCACAAAATCTGGCCATAGCGAAGATGTGTGCGTGAAGGGGAAGGAAGTCCAAGCCTCACTACGGGGTAGCCAGGCATGGTGTTGCCTGAGGCAAGCGCAGCCACAAGGCAGCTCAATCTGAGACTCCATTAAAGTTGACCCCGGATTAATAAACCCCTGCTTATTAATATGGGGGAAAAGTGATGATTCCCACTAAAACCAGGGACACCCCAGATCAAAAAATAGGGGGTTGATTAATCCGGGGTCAACATTAGACATTTTCACACAGCTTTCACACTTTCACCTGCCCGTCCATGCGAAAAACCTCCCAGCCGGACGCGGCTCCCTCACACCAGTAACCACTCCCACACGCAAACACGCAAAAACGGTGCAGGCAGGCGGAACAACCGACCGACTCACAGACCGGCCGACACAAACACAGACATGACGGCGGGCGATCTGTGTAGTAGATTGAGAGTGGATGGCACTATCTCTAAAGGGGGGCTGACATGGGCCCATTTCTAGGCAACTTTTGTGCCATCAACTCTGAAGCCACTGTAGATTCAGTCTCCAAGAGCCGCGCTATATTCGCCATGTGTGTTGCACCTGAAAAGCTGTGAGCAAAAGCTAATCCTCATCAATGCACGGCCAACTGTGGACAGGACGTGTTCCAGGTCGCAGATTATGTCGCTGGTTGCTCATTCCCAAGCCCTCACTGAATCACAGCCTGGCGACATCGGTGAAATGAGGTCCGGAGCCTCTCCCTTTGATTCCAATCTATGTCCGTCAGCCTTCAATGCCCGCTAGGTGGTCTCCAGCAACTGCACTCAACTGCACGCTCGACCTCTCATAGCCTGACGTACCCAAATTGGCTCACCACGCGCTCATCCAATCAGAGCAGAGCAAGCATCTATTCTTGTTTGAAGAGTTGAAGGCCTTCCCATCATCGGCCACGGTTGACTGGTCGAAGAACGCCTCATGGATGGACATTTACCATAGTTTTCCCACAGTCCCAGCCCTCTCCAGAAGGTCTCTCTGAGTATTCGGCGAACCAGGGCTCCAGCAACATTCGCGCCCCGCGCCTTCCCGCTCGTTCGCCACACTCCGAGCGTGCCGCTACCACTCCTTGAAACAGCTCACGGTCAAAGCGCTGCAAATATTTTTGTCCCACCAGCTCATAACCAGCACTCGGTTCCAACAGTTGGAGAGAGGTCAGAAGGCAACTGCTGAACAAGTGAACCAATCACAATTCGCAAGCCCTGAGATGCAGGCCAAGCTGCAGCCATTGCAGGTCTTTTCCATTCAGTCAAAAGGCATGCCCCCGTGAGAATGCGGGTTTCGCGCGACCTTTGCCGATGCAAGCATTCCTGAAGTCTGCTCCAAAAGAAACGTGCCTCCAAAGCAGGGAGGCTCTACTAGGAAGGCTACAAGATCCATGCCAGCCAAAGTTGCTCCTGCATTGTTTGAACCTCTTGATTCTCAATCAGCAACAGCAAAATCGCCAAACGCGGTGATTGTGTGCCATGTCTTGTGTATGCAAGCTAACCAAACGGCACCACGCAAGCACGCGATAACTCTTTTATCCGAGCAATGTGTTGGTGCCAGGGACTCATCTTCCCCTGTCAGATGTCAAAGGCTGGGTGGGCCCCATGGGCCACCCAACTCACAATCTCAAAAACTGAAGAACGGGTGTGCAGACTGATAGCGCCCGCCCCTGAGCCGGGGCCCGGGGCACCCAGGCCACAGGGGCCACCAGGGGAAGTGAGTCACCCACCGGCTCCGGTCACGGGAGCATGGGTGGGCCCACGCTAAGATCAAATGCATCTCCATTCAGGAGACGCGGGAGAAAAACGAACTCCTCGCAGAGTTCCTGTTTGGGGACCCTGTGCAAAGGGTCGAACCCAGAGAAATCTGGGTGCGTCAGTTCATCAGCCCATTGGTTGAATTCCCGGGGCACGTGGTTGGCCGCCAGCGAGCAGCCATGGGTGTGGAGCAGGAAGACCAGCTCCATCAGGATCGCCGCGGTGTAGGGCTTCTTGGATCCAAGGTTGAGCATCGCCATGACGTTGCCCTGATTGTCACTGCCCACCGGGAGTCGGACCCGGGAGGACAGAGGGCCTTGGTGCGTGAGGATCATGTTACAGAGGAAGAGCGTGCCCAGCATTTCCAAAGCCGCAATCCTCCGCTTGGGATCCCCATTCTTGAATGCCCAAGGGTACTCCTCCACGTGGATCTGCTCGTGGAACCAGTACACCTCCTTCTTTTCCGGCTCCACTTTGTTGGAGCACCAACCTCCCACAAATGCCAGTCCTTCGTCCGAGGCGCTAGCATCGCTGCAACCCCACCAAGAGGACTTCGGCAAGTAAGGGGAGTACTGGACGAAGGGCGTGTTGAAGAGGAACCGCAGCATGAACGCCAGCATCCTGACCACCTTGGGGGGTTTCCCCACCGTGGTGGTGGCCATCTTCCAGGCCCAAAGTGGCTGGAGCATCGACTTCGCCAGCGGACATGCAGCAGTCGCCCATTGGATGCGGCCCAGGGCCTTCTCGATGTCCTTTGAGTGCATCGCCTGCCCTTCCACCATGGTCTGCAAAACCTCCATCACCAGGATGTGTTTGTTGGCGGCCATGACAACCTGCGGGATGTTCGGGTGGACCACGAAGCAGCCACGTGTTAACCTCCGCCAAATGTGTCTTCTTCCAGCTAAGCGGGGTGCCCAAGGCCAGGAGTGTTGCCAACAGCGCCACCGCCAAGTTTACTGCCCCCTCGCTTCGAAGCAGCCACAGGAAGTCATCCACAAAGACGAAGTTCCAATCCACTTGAGGGAAAAGTGCGTAGAGGACCCTGAGTAGAAGGGCTGCCAGGCGTCCCCAGTAGGATTGGGCACTGGCCATGCCATATGCGCCTTGTTCACCCACCATTCTTCCCCCAGTGAAGCCACCTGGAACCGCCAGTCCTTCCTGAGGACCTTCACTCTCCGGTGGGCCTTGGTGACGTCCGCCTTGAGCAGCACCCAACATGTCGGGGCCAGGAGCACCCTGAGAGGGGGGTCCCTCCGCAGCTGCCGCATGTAGCCAATGAAGAGCTTGAACCCCATCCAGCACCGTCGGAGCCGTCGTCCTTTCCACCGTCTGGTTGTTGGTGGTGTCATTGGCCCCGCCCACCGAGCCATCGTAGATGGTGCGGATCTTGTCCCCTTCGTCGATGCCCGCTAGGGGGCCGGGACAAAGGTCCTCAATTTCGCAGCCACAGCGCGATGCTGCCTCCACCTTGGTGAAGGGGCCCTCTACCATGCCCATGGGGACCTCCTCCAGGAATGTGCCCCGGATGAGCTCGCTGAAGTGATCCGCCGAAGGGTAGTTACTCCGGCCCGTGGGGGAGGGAGTTCCTGGAACTCCGGCTCCTCCCCTTTCAGCTCCTTCTTGAGTGGCCAAATGCCCGGCGAGGCCAGGGGTGGGTCCGTGACCCCCAGTGGGACCCCTTGCTCCAGATCTCGAGGAAACTGGTGGTCGGGGTCCTGAATGTTCAGCGCCACGCTGTGCAAGATGTCCAGGAAGAAGGGTTGGCCTTCAGCTGGTCGGCCTGCCCCCGGCGCCAGAATCTCCCTGATATCCTCCAGCAGGTCCTCCGGGAAGGGATGTGACCCGTCCCCCAACGAGAGCGACTCCTGAAGCTTGTCCCCCCATGGCGAAGTGAGGACACAGATCTTGGCCCCCATCGCTGCTGCTTTGGACAGTGGCCGAGTCCACAGGGCCAGCCGTCCCAATGAGGGCTTTCCCCCCCGTCCCTTAGGGGGCGCTGTTTGAAGGCCATCTGGAGGTACATGACCTTGTCGGAGAGATTTGGGTCGTGCGTGATCGGCAGGATGGTGGGCCGATCCGAGATTTCCATGCAATGGCGTGCCCATGGCTCAGGGGAAAGAGTTCCCCCCCGAAGTTCGTCCGTCTCGCCAGCCCTCTGTGTCGGTGTCCGGACCTCCGGATTGTCCGAGGCCGAGACCGGAAGTGAGCCCAAGGTTACGTTGGGTTCGCCTGGGGCACCGTGCCCCCCGGCCTCAGCGCCTCCAGGACGGGTCCCGCTCTGCAAAGGATGGCCGCTGCGAGACCCTGCATCATCTGCTCTGGGTACCGGCTGAGGTCACTGGAGTTGAGCTTTCCCCCCTGGGGTGAGCTCCGTGGTTGCATCGCAGATCATGCCAATGGTGAAGGGGAAGGTCCGTTGACAAAGTCGTGGACTTCACTACCACCTGGCCCAGGCGGCACTCGTCAAACTTGATGAGGGAGTGGTGGAGTGCGTTCGCCCATTGAATGTAGGCCCGTGTGACCCAGACCTCGCTGCGCTCGGGCTCTTGCTGCACTCCATTGATTCCATTGGGTGCTCCAAGAAGGAGGAGCCCACCTGCGGGACCGTTAGCTGACCTAGCCCCTTGTAGGCCAGCGAGGTCAGGTACATCTGTCGGAGCATGAGCACGCTGTCGTTGTCCGTGTCCTCCATAACCCGGGCTCCAGGTCCTCTAAGCCCCACAGGGTCTGCTCCGCTCTGCCCCCCACCGGCGGCTTGCCCCCCCTAGGGATTCCGTGTGTCCTTTGTCTGACCCTCCAGTCATCTGTCCCTGGGCTTGCTGCTTGCTCTGGCGGTTCTTCCCGCCCTTGGAACGCCCCTTCCCACTGCCTCGGTGGGTGCGGGGGAAAGGGGTGCTTCCGCCCTTCTGGAGTGCCCTGGCTGGGTCCGCTCCTCTTCGGGCTTCCGGGGCCGGTGGCACCCTGGAGAAGCCCCTCCCACCT